AGAACACAGCGGCATTTACGATTACGTCCATTTAAGGGAGACTTGGTTGGTTGACTGCCTCAAGAGGCTTTCAGCATCAGAAAAAAAAGCAGTTTTGTGTAGTTTGCGTTGGTTGCTTCATGGACATGACACCCCCCCCCCCTTAAAAAAAAAAGAGCATCTTTTATATTTGGAGATTAGCGGCCTCAACAGGATGATGGCTAAGCCCCTTTTTTCCATAGATCGATAATGATATCTGCCTTGGTGAATAGAGGCGTGGAGGAGGTTTATGAATAAAAAGTCTTTCTGGCCAAGTCACGTCCTGAAAGCCTATGGTGAAGTGTTACCCAATGAAATCGATAGGACCTTACGGCCGTGATGTACACCACGCGAGCGAGGCAGACAGGCAGGCTGATCGAGACCCGGAACGATGTTAATTGCCTGACAGGTAGGTCTCTTATATAAATATCTTGTTGATGCAGTTGGAGGTGTTTGGTTTAGCCGCACCAGCAACGTGGCTCGAAAGGTCGCTCTTACAACAACTCGGGAGCGGGAGTGGATGCGGGGGACCGAAATGCAAATGCGCATGGGTCCGATTGTTTATTGATCGTAGATTCCTCTATCTCTTTAGAAGGATTCATCTCTCTCCGATCGGCGAGCTCATCTTCTGAGTGTTCTAGTTGGAATATGCGCCGCGTTGGAAGTGGAGAGACATGAGGTTTGACATATGGGTAGAACAGACTTCTCTTTGCCTTTCTTGGGACGAGTAGGAGGCAGTGGCACCTAGTCATTTCACACAACAGCAATCTGGTCGTCAGACCTAAGTCATCGCTTCTCATGCTGTCGCTCATACAATCGCAACGCCCATGGAATCACCTCTCAAGCGCTTGTTGCGCTAACGATCAAAGCTTCAGAGATCAGTAATATAAGACCTGGTTGGCATATCACGTTAATCACACACAAAACACCTCAGCATTCATTTAACTCATTTATTAGCCCCCCCTCAAGGGAGATTCATCCTATACTTCAACTCATCCGGGCTCACGCTCGTGGGATCCTCCACTTGCTTGATCCACACCACAGACTTATCCTCATAGACAACCTCGACGTCAAACATGTGCTGCGACTCCCGCTCGCCAACTTGTTTCACAATAGTCTGGTTGGCCTCCTTGTAGCTCTCCAGCATGCTCAACCACGTCTGCGTGTCCCACAGCCCGTCGCGGCGCGGATACTCCCGGAACAGCCGCAGCGCGTCGGCCCGCACCGCTTCGTCCATGCAGAGCATCGTCGCCGCGCCGAGGGGCCAGGTCGGGCTGTTGCTGTCCATTGTGAACATCTCGCCCGAGGCGTTGAGCAGGCGCTGCTGGAGCTCGAGGAACTCTTTGCTCAGGTCGACGTAGAGCCGGAAGCTGGGCGTCATGGCCGCGAGCTCGTCCGTGTCGCAGTAGTTTGCCGTCCGGATCGGGATCGAGAGGTACGTCGAGTGGATGTGCAGGCCCAGGGCCTTGAGGTACTCTCTGGTATCGCACTTTGCTTCTCCTCCTTCTTCTTCTTCGTTCGCCTGCTTCTTCTTCTTCTTGTTCTTCTTCTCCTGCGCTGCTTCGAGTAGGGGCGAGAAGCGCGCGCGCCAGGCTTGGACGTAGCGGTCGTGCGCTTTCACTTGCTCCGGGTTGATGGGCAGGCTGACGTTGGGCGGGAAGGACGGCGCCTTGTTGCCCGTGCCCTCGACGCGGAAGCCGATGATGAGGGGCGCGTGGTGGATGACGTGGTGCTGGGTGACCTCCCACCAGCGGTGCGCCTCGTCGAGCGAGGTAAAGGCGTCGGGCATCTCGTCGACGGCGTAGCGCGTGGTCTGGCCGCGGCAGCACCAGGGCACCTGCTTCTCCGTCTCCTTCGGGTGGTCGCCGTTGTGGCTCCACGACTGGAGCGTCAGGCGCTGGAAGTTTGTGGCGATGGCGTCGACTAGGGGGTCGCGGCGGGGTGCCTGCTTCGTCGTCTTCATCTTCTTTGACCGGCGCCGCTCGTACTGGTCGAGGATGTTGTAGCCGTGGTTGAGGTGCGTTAGCGCGGACCTCCTGTCGCCGTGGAGGGCCTCGAACATGACGAAGAGCAGACATGTCATGAGGACGCTGGGGAAAGTCTCCTCCGTGGGCGGGGATTTGACGGTCAACTGCAGCGCGCGGTTGTAGTACTCGAGCGCGTCTGCGAAGTAAGGACCTTTACCCGTGAGACGCTCCTCGCGAGTGCCGCTGCCGAGGGCGGCGGCGCCGATGGCAAAAGCGGCGTTGCGGACGGCCAGGTCGGAGCGGGCGATTTGCGGGATGGTCTCTGTGATGAGCTGGGAGGGGAAGACGAGGGTGTCTGCGGCGAAGGAGAGCCATTGGTCAAAGTGGTCCTTTTGGAGCTGCGTCGTGAAGACGAGGCTCTGGTAGCTCGGCTCGACGGAGAAGGGGGAGGAGGCGCCGCCGCCGCCGTTGGGGCTGGTGGTTGCGATGAGCTGTTTTGAGGCTGCGCCGGGAGAGGAGGAGGCGTTTGGCGATTTGGGTTTGTACCCCTCACATTCCACCCGCCGCTTGAGACAGTTTTGGCATGACGGCTTTGTCTCGTCACATTTTATCCTGCGCCGTCTGGACGGGGTGTTAGTACGATGAGAATCCGGTTTGATGTGCCTGAGTTGACATACTTGCATGTGACGCATCCCGTACGGACTTTGGGCTTACTAGCCCTGGTCGTCGGCCCGGCGTTGTGAGGCCAGTTCTCGAGCGCAAAGGTGAGAATCTGGGGACCGGGAGAGGGCATCAGGGCCGGAGTTTTGTTGGCCGTTGTTGTAAGTAAGAGGCTGAGAAATGAGAAGACAAAAGTGCCTCCCAGGAAAGGATTATTGGGGGTTCCGGGTACTCGGGTCTCGGAGACTGTGTGTTTCCCGCTCTAGTGTCTTTGAACAGATACGAGGTCGCCGAGTTGTGGTTTCTCGCATTTCCAGAACCGGAACACTTGGCGGGCAGCAGCGACGGTTATTACACAAGATGAATGCTGCTGTACTTCCTCTTTCTCTTTTTGTTGTAACTTTGTAAGCGCTCAAAGGAAACGAAGGAACGATGTATTATTGCTGCCTAAAAACGCTTTTACATCATCCGTAGTAACCCTGGTCTATCTCTTATGAGGAATGGGCAGAAAATAAAAAAGAAAGAAAAAAAGAAGAAGGTAAGATGAATCCTTCTGCAAGTCAACAGGTTGAGAGTTGGTCTTGTCAGGCAAGTTGACAGGATGGAAAATTGACAGGAAGGGGGGGGTTCATGGAGGATAAAACGTGGGGCGTTATCTCCGAGCTATGAAGTCAAAACAATGTGAGGAGAACTCGACCAGAAGGAAATCGAGGAATTGGAAACATCGGGAAATGCGCACCGCCACCCGTTAGCACGAGTTGGCGGCATGGCACGCATGGGTGCCAGGAGTTCAGACCCCTTGACTGGGTGTAACATGGGGGGGGGGGGTTGTTTGGTTGTCAAAGTCAATCAAAAGCCGCCCTGGGTCGGGGGGGTTGAGCCAGGCAGCAGTGAATCGTGAATCGATGACGGCTAGATCACGGCATCATAATCATTACATAACATCGGTTAAGGCCATCGATGAGTTCAACTTTCTCTAAGCGCTGGCTGGGCAATTGTAGAAACCATCCTATTGAAAGCCTCGAAGCCTCTTGGGGGCCGTGGCTGTGTTGCACATGTTCCTGACTGCGCCGCCGTTGAAAGACGTGGTCTGGCAAAAGTCTAGAACTATCAGCTAAGGCAAGGTCGGCAAACGTTGATCGGATAACTACGCCGCCCCGCGTGGGTGTCAGATCGCTGGGTGTCTGTGTGACACGTTCAACGTGCAAGTTGCCGCGCGCGGAGGGGGGGAAGAAGATGGAGGGGGAGGGGCAGCCCCCCGGCCGTCCGCGGTCCCAGGCTGTTCCCAGCGAACTCCATAACGTCGCCGACTCGGTGACCATAAACCCTCGTCGGTAGGTTTAACTGGACCAGCTCCGGCTCCGAAGGGTGGGCGAGGAACGGAAGCTAACAGCCCTGTGGGATTTCCCAACCGTTACGGATACAGGGCTATGGGCTGGTCCTTGGTCGATGGTGTGCTCCCTAATTGGAGGGGAGTGGGTATGCGGTCATCTTAAACCACCCGAAGGATTCTGAACCTTTTTCTTCCTCTTCATGAGAAACCTATCACAACCGCAAGGTTTAAGGCTGAAAGGAAGGGCTTGAACTTGATTTCATGCCCCTTGCTCCGAGGAATATGCCCCTTTTGAGACAGTTGGGTAATCAACGGCCTGGCTGTGCTTCGTACAGAACTAACTCGTAGTGGTTTGGCTCGTTCGATGTCAGTTGATCATTGGGCTCCTCCCGAAACTTTGTATCATTCGATGTTGAGCAGCCCATGCTCTCGACTCTTGATGCCATTGAGCCCCATTTCATGCTCATTCTTCGAACCAGCTTTGCGATAAGGATCTTGATAATTGCCGTCGTTTCCATATTTGAGGGGTAGAAAGTTGGGAAGAAGCCTACAGTCTGCGGTGATAGGTTTTTGCACCAATGAACCAGCGTGCACCGCGGATAAGGGCCGCGTCTGATGATTTCTCATGATCCTCAATCGTCGTTGGTCCTCGATGATGTGGAATCTTTCAAGATACGAATGTCCAGTCTTTCAGAGAGATAAAGTCGAAGATTCCTGCCCTAGCCCAAAGCTGTCCTGGATACACAGATCGGTACATCAAAGAAGGCATGGGTGTGTGGGGTACGGAGCGTGACAGGACCTATCTAGTGTAGGGGAATATATGTTTTTCCGACAATGGGAGAACCTCCAGTTCATCGCCAGTTGGGCACTGACGAGAAGCAAAGAACTCGTGGATGATCTAGGCGTCGCATGTCGACTGTCACAACGCTCTGGAAGATCCGGCTGTTGACGGAAGAGTGACTTCGTACTGCGAATGCTGCCAAGTCCAGTTATCTTCTCAGTCATACTATTGAGTGCCTAACATGCCACGACAACAGTACAATGAGGCCACGGACCTGCATAATGATCTTGTTCGAAAGTACAAGAGACATGGCGCTGTCATCGATGAAATTTGGAGAGAATTTGGTGCAGGCCAGCGCGCGAAGTGTGTGAAGGCCGGAGTGATGGAGGGTGTCTTACTCAGACACTCGGGGGACACTACCCTGGGCGATAACTACAAGGTCTTTCCCGAATGGAATTTGCGCGACTTGACTGAACGGCCCGAGCATTTTCTTAGCATGCTAGAGCACCGCATCAAGAAAACGCCCATGGAGCAGTACTGTTACGGGCTTAACGGTGGTAAGGGTGATGCCGATACCATTCAGGAGAGCATGCGGACGCAGGGTTTACGTCCGCCTGCATCTGACAAGGACTGGTACATGCTGTTTTCCGATGGGGAGTATTACGGTTGTACTGTATATCTGCCCGAAAAAGACGAGAAATCGTTGGGCGGGCTTGTGCCGGCCATCAGAGCGGGACTTGTACCACCAAAAGGTATTGGCGAGCTGATCTTAAAACGACAAGTCACCTTGCTGCAGTCACTCAATATCCTCATTGACGACATCTTGGAGCAGGGCTCGAAGACGCGAAGTAAGGCCCAGCGCCCCAAGAAGCCAGAGGAGACAACCACTGCGGCATTCGCAAGATTGAGCATCTCACAATCACCTGCCAAGCTTTCTATAGCCGACCTCGTCAACAATGCCTATGATCAGGCGGCTTCACTCAAGGAACGCCTGGAGCTCTGCTCGGAACCGGCTTTTCTTGCACACGACGTCAACTTCTGGTACTTCAGCCGGCCAGAGACACTCCCAGACGAGAAAGGACGTCGTTTGCCGGTGGTTTCGGACAAGTACATCAGTGCCAGTGTCTTCGACGCTGTCCATAACGCTGTCCAGGCAGCTGTCCTGTGGAACTACATTCATCAGCTCCTCGAGCGTTTCGAAAGCTTGAACCAAGACAAAGCCCACAGGACTATCCTGCTACAGGAGATAGCCAACGCCGCCCAGCTCGCCTACGTCTCCGCCCAGGCCTTATTCAAGCGGCATATTCAGTCGCATTCTGGCAGCAAGTGGTACAAGCGGATGTCCAATGTGTATGACAGCGTTGGTAACGCGCGCGTGACGCTCAAAGGCAATCCAGGCGACTTGACGCGAAGCGATCCTCAACTTCACTACATGCTCCGTCTCTGCCACCCTGACACCACTGCAGCCAAGGCCGCCGAATGGCTGAAGAAGTTGGGCGATCTTCATCGGCCTCATCCCGAAGAGCGGGAGAAACTGGTTGAGAGCGAGTTCGAGTCTCTTTGTGACCTTGCCACGACCGTCGCCTTCATCCAGGATGTAACCAGTACAATCTCGACGCCGGCTCCATCCCGCAAAAAGGGGCAATTATTTGTCTCCAGATCCCATGAGCTCGAGAAAGAATTGAACGAGCTCAAGACTGGCATTGATCTGAGGGACTTTGCCGTCCCCATCGACAATCTTCTAGAGCCGGGGATGACCGTTGAAGCTTTAGAGAAACTCAACCAGTTTATCATTGACAATGCCGGTGCCAATCTCGGTGTGCTTTACGAAGATCTTGTTTTCGAATGCTTCTCCGACCTTGAGAATCAGTATAAACAGTACAAAAGCAAGATCAGCCAAGGCCAAAAGGAGTGGACGCCACTTCCGGTGCCTGCCCCCGAGCCGCGAGAAACTTTGGTAGACCAGCGGAAGGAGAAGGAAAAGACTCGTCCGGCCCACGTATCTGCCTTTGGGGTCGGTCCTCAGGCAAATGTGTCGACTGCAGAGCCAGTCGTCGAGAAGCAGACGTTCAAAGTCTCTTCAGCGACTGCCGAGGTTTTCTATGCTCTCTTCAAGAAGTCCGAGTCCCGAGGTGCAGTGAACTGGACGGCCTTTGAAGGCGCCATGGCCGAGCTCGGGTTTTCGGTTCTGCCCAAGTACGGTTCGGTTTTCACTTTCATGCCGCCCGATAGTATGGCAGTAAAGAGGCCGTTCACCATCCACCGACCTCACAAGTCTCAGATTGAAGGGTACATGACGCTGGTGTACTCTCGGCGACTCGCGAGGGCGTATGGATGGGATGAGAAGACGTTTTCAGTTGTGTGAACAGGTTTGTGGTGTTCATCGCAAGGAACATGGAGTGTCAGGCGTGGGTGAAATTGGCTGGGTTTGGCCTTTAAGACATGATTTACTTGCTTGTCTGGTATTACAATGTTGGGAGGCTGGGACCGATAAGGTGCTGACTGTGGGATGATCCGGGTATTATATGACTAGCGCCAGTTCAGATGAAGGTCGAGAAAGCCAAGGGATGTTGACCCTGTGGTTTCCTATACTAAATGTTCAAAATTGTCTGGCTTCGCTTAACGTCGTTTTCCCTCTAGCCGATGTGAGCATGTTGCCTTTGAATTCGAGAATAGTTTCAGACCCTATTTCAATTCGCCTGACTATCAATTGTGGCCAGGACCATGTTGTGCTTGCTCAAGTGGTGGCATCGTGGACAGACCAGGCAGCATTCACGCCATTTGAAAAGGCCACCCAAATGTAGCAGAGCGACTGTCTTCGTAAGCGTAGGCAATCGTCTTCAGATGCTGTTCCAGCAGTGAATTGTTCTTGCACCAAGGATGGTGAGTCGATTGATCGCCGTCAACTGGTCACCTGTCGGCATCGCATCGTTGTTGATGTTCAACCAAGCTTCCGGTGGTCGGTGACGTCAATTGACGTCTGGCTGAAGTACAGTGTCACGTGCGATAGTGATATAAAATTGGTATGGCGCTAGCGGGCCGCGCATGGAAAGTGGGCCTTGTGGCCCGTGCAATCGAGCCCGTCTGTGGGGTGCTGGTCTATCGCCGAGCGCCGATATCACCGAGCTGCCTCCTTCGGAACTCCGGTGCGCACAATGTTGTCAAGGTCACACATTGTCCAAATTGTAGCGGAAGACCATGTACGTCAGGCAGCAGATAGAGCTCGGCCAGGGCTATCAATCCGTGCCACTCACTTGGTATTGAATAAGTTTTGCTCAGGATAGTTGACACACCAGGGAATGGATGAGTTATGATTCTTCCTCATGACACTGGACAAGCCAGGGCACATAATGAAAAAAGAGGTTCGCGTCGCCTGGAGGCAGTGTAATACCAAGGACACTGTGAGAGGAGCCGTGTGCAAGCACAGAGGGCTTCTCTCGAGGTACAAAAATAGGAATAATCACGATTGGTCTCCTTAGAGACCTTTCAGAGATTAAACTGAAAAGAACAGATACTACACTTGATCTAAGCCAAAAGGCAAAGAGAGCTAAAGAAGAAAGAGAGAAAACAAGCAAAGAACGGCGACAGACGGCGGTTATATAGAGATCTGCTAGGCGGTGTTGCGAGGCGCGGCTGGGGCGAGGCGGCAGAATGTGCGAGGACACGAGTCATTTCGGGCGGGGAGAAACCTTAGGCCGTATGGATACGTGCGGAAATTGGCTGCAGACATGCCCAATGAGCTTGCTGAACCATAGACAGCCACCTTTTTGTCTGGGTCATCTTTCCGGTGAGTTACGTGAAAACATCCACCACGGACAGACGGTGAAGCTCAACAACGACAGCCATTGGCTTACTGTGATTTCTGAGGTCCACTGTCTTTTGGTTTACCCTGTTGACCGGCTGGTCGATTGTGGTCTATGGAGTCTGGCAACCAGACAGAATTTTGTGGTCTGGCGGGAAAGTGTGACAAACAGGATTCGGGGGTTCACAATGTTATGCTATCGTGCTCTATGCATTCATGTAGGAGCTTACTTGTGGATGGCACAAATCACTGCATAATCTAGCTTCCTACGTGCTTACCTCACCGAGCTCACCGACGCAGGAAGACAATAAGGTCCTTCAATGGAAGAGTGTCTGTATCAACCTACGCCGCAACCGTCATTCCGCAGGCTTTACATTGATGACTTTTCCACTTGATAATCCAACTTGTCTCTCATCAGTTTTCTTGTGCGACGTCTATGAGCTTCGGATCTAGCGGGGTCGCAGAGTTGGATTTTCAGACGGAGTTGCGTCACTCTCATAAACTTGATAACTCCAATAAAGCCATACCCTGGTAGACTGAAGTCTTCGAGCGAAGCGAACTCCGGCGATGCGGACTAGTCTGATTTGACATTATGCTCAGAACTTTGAGCCAAGAGATTGTAGGAGGCTGTCATGTATACTTAGCCGCGCACTTGGGGAGAGTCACAATGAAGGGAGTTAAAGAATGGGAGATACCACAATGAGCATGGCTAGATGCGGCCATCGTGTCTGGCTACCTCTCTCGAATCAATCCTAAACCTGTCATATTGGCCATCGACGAGGCTTTTCACTCTCACCGGTTCAGACGGCATCATAGACTAGGCCCAGGCTCCTATAAGGCTATAATGGAGAAAGCAGGAGAAAGCAACGTCTGTTCTCATGACTTAGTCAAACATTCTCGAATTATCAAATAACAACAACCAGCGAGGTTTCTAGCTGGGCTGTCGCTCACATAATATAAACTCTGCGACGATCCCGGATGTCCTTGCCCCACTCGGCTCGCTCAATCAACGGAGAAGCACAATTATCACAGACAGGATCCTCCGGCCATATCAGCGTCGGCCATCCCTTGAGAGCTGCCAAACCCGCGACAGCCAGCCGGCCGTACCAGTTTCCAGCCGTCCACACAACACCAATTTCATTGCCTATGAGATTCTCTTGGCAAAGCAAGAGCTCGTCCCATTTCGTGATGGACCGAAGCGAAAGTCCCGCGACCTTGTGCAGTGCAACACCATTATGAGACTGATTTGTCCCGACACACTTGCAACCATCGAGTCGCGTGAGATTCTCTTGCATCAGAGACGTCAGTAAGTCAAGATCAGTCACCCATCGTGGGCCATCGTAAGCCTGTACCAAGGCTTCTCGAATGATTACATCCCCATCCACGGCACCCTGGGCGCCGGCGAGTCTGACAGTGAAGTCGGTGCAACGTAGATGGAGAGACGTTGTACCGAAACTGTCAGCAAACTCTCCGCCAAATTCGTCCGCTGTAATGCGGCTCCCGTTTATACCGAGCTTGAGGGACAAAGGCTTCGGCGGCGGCACGAGCATAACGATGCCAGGATACCCGAGGTTTCCAAGAATGCGGCGTATTCCGTGCATTTCAGCCGTGCCCGACCTGTCGAGTTTACACGGGTCTTGAAGCAGGTATTCAGCCGCATATATCGAATTACCTGTTGCCATTGCCATGACATGCTGGACTTGATCCAGGTGAATGTCGTGCTCTCCAGACTCCATGAGCGCTAAGCATGAAAACTTGGCTGACCGATGAAGATGTTGGCTCGCGCCGTCCCGAATGGCATAGCTTTTTAATCTCGCCCAATGTGAAAGACCTAGAGGTCGTTTTGCGACACCTGTTGAAATGGTCGCCTCCGGCCAGTCATGATATAGCTGCGAGACCCGCCAAACCGCTTCTAAAGATGAAAACAGAACCTCGCTATGATGGTATTGTCCGGTCAGTAACCTCGAATGGTCAACAATGCCATATTCGGGGTAGACAAGGCGTCTTAGATAGTCTTCTAGTAACCCTCTGTCAATCCTTGTAGACTTAAAAACCTGTATCAGTTGAGCTAAACTGCAGCTTGGCATGTCGATGGGTGCTCTGTCGCTTAAGAGGAGAGCTACATGGGATTTGGTTGCAACTTGGCGAAATTGAATCTTGCGGATAACGTTGATGGTGCTGGTTCCATGATGGGAAGAGGCGTATTTCGAACTCCTATGGTTCATGCTGGCAGCGAAAGAAAGAAAATGCGGCTCAATCAATGAGTTGGGTGACAGCTCTTGTTCGGAATACCCCTCGAACGCGAACAACGTGGGCTCGGGCAAAGAGGGGGCCGGCGCAAAGACGGATGGTTTCAAGCAGGAATACCGCTCGACAAATGATGCGGGCGGATGTAACCACTGGAAACCCATGACGATACTTGAGAAATTCTTGTCTTTGATGGACTTGATATCTGGCACTGAAAGCCAATCGCAAGGTTCATCAACGTCTTCCGCCTCAGCCCTACATTGTCTGACATTGGAACAATGCAAATGCCTCTCAGAGCCATTGGATGTCGACAAGCAAAGACACAGGGTTGTACACTTCTTCCCGTCATTGCGACACGGGCAAGACTGGCCACAATGCGACTGTGCTTGTCCGTGGCAAAAGCACCCATCGCTATAGTTGGATTCAGGGTTGAACTCTGGATCGAGAAATGGCGGATTTTCAGGTTGATCTTCGATTCGGTCCAGGTATTTCTGTTCGCTGGCGTTTGTGGTTCGATCAACGTGAATCCACCGCCTATGTCCTTTGGTGAGTATTGGCTGTCCATCTGTGGAGCGTTTATTGGATTGGAGTTGCTGTTTCAGCGCCGAAGCAATCTCAATGTTCCCTTGTAAGACACGGGTATCCTCTAGCGTGTTCACTCTCGGCTTTGCCATCGGCTGGCTGATAATGATGGCATCGCTCTCGTGGAAGGCGCATTCTTCAGATAGCGATCGAAAGCTAGCAATCACAGGTTCAAGATCATCCTCCCCATGGTGGGGAGTATGGGACAGGTTGAATCGGAGGTATGGATTTGCTAATCCAAACATAGGTGGAGTATTTAGAAAGCGGGGATCCAAGAAATTGCGGCCGCGGCGCCTTCCATACTCGATCCGATAAAGGGCGTTTTCTTTTTCTTTTTCTCCAAAGGACAAGAAGTCACGAGCTGCTTGAATAAGCGGCAGGAGCCAGTCTAAAGGACCTCGCTCCCGACGTTCGATGGACCTCGTCAGGTCAAGCTGGAGGAGGTCGCCAAGAGCTGCGAAGCATTCTGCCGCTTCTGTGATACTGACAAGCTCTGGCTTGGCCCAGGAATGAATAAATGCCCCGAATGCCACTAACCGAAGCTCTTGGGATGTCAACCGATCACTGTCATTGATGGATCGTTCGATTATCACCGGGTCTCCGTAGTACCGTAAGTGGGACAACGACAAAGACCATCGGACACCGTCATCACAGGTTTCTGTAGTTTCAAGGCCGAGTGTGATGTCTCCCCCTCGTTTAACGAGCTCGTCATCAAATACGACGAATCTGTCCGG